CCATTCTCTGTTCATTTACAAGTTTTTGTTAATGTCATTTCTTTTTTTTCAAGTACATGTACAGTAAAATATCTAATAATTTGTTTTCATTCTTCGATCCATTTACAATAACTTCCTTTAAGTAATCCTTATTATAATAATTCATACTAATTTTCCAATTTTCTTCCAAATCTGCCTGAATTTCATTTAGTATATCTGAACGAAGCTGTGAGGGACATAAACCATACATTTTTTTTATTTATCTTATTGTGAGATGAAAATGAAATAGTTCGCCATTTTATTTTCATTAGCAGTATATCCAAAACATAATTCTTTGGGAATATAAAATTGAGCATTTGGATCTGAAATACAAACTGACCTCAAGTTACTTATTAACACACTGGCATGAAAATACACGTCATAGTAGTTTTTAGATGAAATGAAAAATATTGTTGAGCAAATTATGAAGTTTGCCTCTATTAGATGTAGCAAAACTAACGTCGATTTCTGTTGAAATTGATCAGTTAATCAACAGCTGGCATTTTTTTTAAAAACAAATTTCCACATTTTGCGTCATCCAGAATAAGTTTAAACCACATCCATGAACAAAAAAAAAATGCCCGAAAACTTTAATCCAATGACATTGACTTAAAATAATCGACATTGTCAATTGTGCATTCTAATGAGCTACGCAAAAATATACACAGTGCGAGACCATTTCGTTTCTCAACATTAAAGCATTTTTGACGAATATTTCTTATAATACGTTCTCAGCAAAATATGACAAAATTTAATCTTTATTAATCTTGTCTAAAAAATAAAAAAAAATATTAACACAAAATAAGTGAATTTTTTTTTATAAAGCCACTAATCAATATGTTTCTAAAGTTTGTTTCAACAGAGATGTTAAAAGCATAAAAGTCATGTTCAATATAGATAATTTCCTTCTAAAATAAATAGTTTTCTTTTTGTTAATAGAAGTACATGTGCCTTTATATTTACTTGTACATCTGCACAATTTAAAAGGATTTCCATCCCTAATATGACCAAATTCTCTACCCTTAAATGTCCATCAAACACATGTTAATGCAGTTATATATTAATATTGAGATATTAAATTAAAGCATTGTATATTAGAAAAGGATTTTACAGAAAGAGCTTTTAAAAATTTCATAAACTAAGCAGTAGTTTAGTAGCAAAGATTGCACTTAAGTCTATGGGGAAAAAGTTTAAAAATTCAGATAACAAGGATATCATTAAATACTGTGGTGAAAGATGCACGGAAACATTAGAATAGAATGACTAATGTTTTTTTTCCCCAAATAATTTATTAAAATTGATTTTTTATTCATAAAAAAGAGAGATAATTTTTACCAAAATTCAAGGTCATAACTTAGGACACATCCCACCCTAAAATGATTACATGTATAGTAGTAAATGGAAATTAAATCTGACTATACCGAGTATTTAACACCTACACATTTGTTGTGTATTTAATTTCATGGAATAAGGAATTAAATACCTTAACGACTTATTTGATTTTCAATAATTATAAAAATAAATGTCAATGTAGTTTGAAATTTTAAACCGGAAAGGTAATTATATCATAACAATTGATTTTTCAGGATATATCAAAATCTGTACATTTGTCAGAGTGGATAAATTATGTAAATGAAATAAAATCAACATATCTAAATGCACTTGTCAAGCAAAAATTATTTTCAAAGTGGAGTTGTAATGTGTCGTGGGCATCCTAGCTTATTTAGGGAGATCCTACGGGAAAAAAATGTGAAGGGTAGGTCGTTCTTAAAACAAACTTAATTAGGGGATATTAACCATTCTCTTCGCTGAGTTTTTTTTTACTATATATGTCTTTAGGCCGTTACCAAGAAAAGATGGCGTAAATTGCTCTGCAGGCTTTAGAAGGGACCGCATCATCCAACAGTATGTAGGTACGTACGAACTACCATTCTGGACATTTCCTTTGATACTGTAAACAAACTTTTATACGCGTGCGAGAAATTTTTGCGAGATATGCAGGAGCCTTGTCCCCGCGAATATTTCTCGTTGCAGAGACTTGTCCTAAAAGTTTTTGTGTCAATTAACAACTGAATCGAAAAAAAAACTTCATTATGAAAATTAATTGTCGCGAATTGGTTTACCCCAAGTAAATTGCATTATAAAGTCGTTGAAAATAAAAATTTTGCTATAAGTTTTCAAAAAACTTCACCCTCACTAAATTGTATTATTCAAATGCTATTCATTTACAGAATGCACAGTGGGGATTTTTGTAATTAAGCGCTCCAAAATGTGCCAATTTTATTTCTAGTTTTTAAAGAAACATCCACTGCAAAATACTATTATATAATGAATTATACATTGAAACTGGTTCAAACTAAAAATGAACATGATGTCAATAAGGATCGAAATACACATTACTGAAGTATATCAGGAAATAGATACGTTCAACCGTTTTGATCAAACATTTCCATCAGTGTGTGTAGTGGTGATTACTAGAGACAGCACGGACGTAAAAGCTTTAAATACTACTTGACATTCGCACATTAAAACAATTGTAAATATTCAACTTCCTTCTTTTTCATGCATAGACTATATATTATATACAAAAATGTACTAATTAATTTTTTAATTAATGTACTCAGATTAATATTCATCTTGCTCATATTTTGCTTCAACATGCATGTACGTGTAAGCTATATTACCCAAATTTAAATTCACCCATACACTAAATTGTGAATGAAACAACTTTTGTTTTACCTCCCTCATTAATTAAATCATCCACTTTTGCAGAAATCTAGACTGAAAGTTTTATAAATGCACACTGTACACTCTTACAAAATCTCTCTCTCTATGGAACATGTAATTCCTGCTTAGAAAATTAATCAAATGCATCACAAAAATACATATTTTAATCAACACAAAACATTACTATACAGTTAACATGAAGAGTCATTTCACAGTTGTTCAATCGACAAGTTCATTTATCTCCAAATAAACTTTTTTTTCAAAATAAAGAGTTTGATGAAAGCCATTGGTAGCTAGATATTAATTGGTACATGTATTCATGTACATGTAAATGAGGGTTAAAATAAAACTGAGAACTAAACAAATGTCACATTGTAATTCTTGAATTTACTGAGTGGTAGTAATTATAAATACAAAAATTACACTATGACATACTATAGTACCATCCGATAAATTCAAAATTCCAATATGACACAAATATGAACATTAGAATAAAACACAACATTTAAACGAGAGTATCGGAATATTCTTTCAACTATAACAACAAAACAAAACAAAAAAAAAAAAAACGAAAACAAAAATACACCATAGTTCTTATTATAATTCAAGCTTAATTTTTTACAACAGTTAAAATACAGAACAGCAAGTAATTTCAATCGATATGAAAAACCTTTAAGATTTACAATAGATAGTAAAATGTAATTGAGCTGTGTTATAGTTCATTGAACACTTTCAATTGAGGACATTCTTGCAAATATTAGAAATGTTTACTATTTGTAAGTACTAAGTTAAAATAACGATTTCTTGTCTGTTATGAAATTGAATGTCCTGCAAATGTCTTCATATAGTTGTTGATAATTAGTAAGTTATGTGACAATAATTACTCTATCCGATTTTTTAGGAATCCCTTTTTTGGGATTCGATATCATTAAGTGGTCTCTTTTCTTTGGAATATTTCTCTGTAAGAAAATTATTAACATTAGTCAATAAATTTTCTGTACAATATATTAAATAAAAATATTATAGAAATTGTATAAATTTCAAGATGACAAAAAATGCTTAGTATACCTTCTATTCTTTGCTTTCTTTTATAAATAAAAAGGAATACACAGATTGATATGAATACAACGCATGAAACGCTCAGACAGGACCATAAAATCACGTCCACAGAGGTTTCTATACTGCTGAAAATTAAATATACACTGTACATGAATATATATAATATGATATAGCTGAATTCAATATATATAACATTAAAAGAAATCTAAATGATAGATGCACATGAAATTCTAAATTTATCTATGTAAACGGCACTTACACTTCAGGTCTTTTCATTTTTTCCTTCACTAAACTAAAATTTGACGCTTTATTCGATAATAAATATTCACTTCTGTGCTTTGGTTTTTTCAAAGTAACACATTCTGGAACTGAAATAAAAAGGATTTTTTATGAAGTACAATTTAAAGCTGATAAAATTTAACAATTGTTTTTGCAAAAACGAATTTTATTTTATATGTTCTCAGACAATATAACTTAACGTTTCTCATTGCATTTAAATGTAAATATAACAGCGATTACATTTGTAGGACTTCCAAGATTCGTATCTGTTGGGGCAAGGCTCTGCATAACGTTTACAATCAGCATTATAGTTATCTTGTATTCGTTCCCCACGGAAATTATATTCTGGACAAAATCCTGAAAAAAAAACCACAAACTGTTACTATGATTTTCATAAAGTGGCCAAAAACAATTTATACACAAAACTTAAATTGAAAACTTTTAGATATTTAACAAGAACACTTCCTCTTACACAAAGTATCTACCTAAAAGAAATAATCCAGGAGCACACACTTCAATAGTTTCATTCATGAAGGCGTTTGAAACACAATGATATCTGAAATTTTTCGGACTAGTACAGTTTTGGGAAATGCTTGAGCAATTTTTTCGTCTGGATGCAGCCATCCACTCTTCATGTGTGCTTGGACATTTGGTGAAGGAAACTGTCGATCTCGAAGCGGGGCAATTCTGGAACGCCATAGTCTACAATATTACAAATGTGATTTTTAAAATTTTTTTCCGCATTGACCAAGGAATTTTTGTATGTATAAAAATGTAGTCATTATACATGTATGCTTGTTCATGTAATGGAAAATGTGAATAATTCCTTTACAAAGTATTTCTTTTTTTTAAATTCCTGTAAAGAATAGTTTCAAAGGTTCTTAGGACAGCAATGATAATTTTTAAAATCCTATGCGTAAACATAAAAAAAATATATGCATTGGGTGATAAACTATGATGTCTGAAATAAATATTTACCCTAACACGTTTTATGAATATTTAATAGTATTTATTTTGATACCAGTGAATAGTTTTAGATACACTGTAAATTTTAAATGCAAAAAGAGCTACAGAATAATTAGTGATTGAGACGTTTTACCTATGTGGGACACCTGTATTAAAACAAAATGTGTTTGTGAAACACTATGCACCCGGTTTCAAAAAAATTCGAAAAACGCTATTTTTGGCATACAGGTCACAGTCAAGGTCACAATCATTGACCTTGGTGCCATTTGAAAGAACTTAATTAGTGAAGTAAGCATACCAAATATGCAGACTCTATCTTCGATGGTTATAAAATATGGTGAAGGTACGAACAGTTTTTTTTAGCATATAGGTCACAGTTAGGGTCAAAAGGTCATTGACTTTGGTGTCATTTGAAAGAATAAACTTAGTGAAGTAATCAAAAAAAATATTTAGTGTCTAGCTCTCATGGTTTTAAAGTTATGGTGAAGCTTCAAAAAAGTAATTTTAGCATAAAGGTCAGAATCAAGGTCACAAGGTCATTAACCTTGTTGTCATTTAGAAGAGTTTAATTAGTGGAGTTTGCATACTAAATATGAAGTCTCTATCTTTCATTGTTCAAAGTTATGGCAAGGTTAAAGTTTGCAGACAAACAGACAAACAACCAGAGAGATAGACAGACAGTACAAAAACAAAATACGCCTCGGATCTATCGATTCGGGCGCAAAATATCCAAATCAATACTGTTTCTTCTAAAGCGAATGTGAATTATTGCTCGGAAATACCCTTATCTAAATATAGAAGCACTTTAATACGCATGTTGATGTTAGGGATAAATTATGCGCCAAAAACTTAGCACGATACAGTGCCAATTGAAAATCACTCGGAATTCTTCCCCTAAAAAAATGTATCAGGAAAAGGAATCTTAACATGAGTTTGTACAATCGAATGAAAATTCAAAAAAAGACATATTTGATGTTTTGTTTCCTTGTCTGTTCAAACAGA